AATAAGAATACCCCACCCCCTTACAGCAAATGTTCTGTTCTCTGACGTTAAATGTTATTTGACTGATCGGATTTACACTGCATAATCAGCTGAAGTATGTCAGACCTATTTCCTTTTTTAAAAATCATTAGGTTTAATGAGCACCTAGTTAAGTTTTTACCTCCAGGAAACTTCTTAAGTGAAATTGTAATAACTCATTATGAATCAATTAAATTATCCAAATGTTATTTTTATGTTCTACAGCATAATTTCTTATTTTGATTTTTCTTATTTCGAGCATTAGCAGTCGAATATCAACTACATATAAATAAACAAATCTCCACCTAAACAATTAAGATTATTAAACTGCTTCTAGTTACTTTATAATAACTAACATTAGCTATAAGATAACTAATGTGCTATTACGTGAGCTGATTGCAGTCAATTGTCATTAAGCAACCCCAACAGTCAGATACAATCACCATTAATCTAGTTTGTCTTACACAGTGTGCATAACAAGCTGGTAAACGGAAAAACACACAAAAAATCCTTCATCATAAATTATACATACATAAACATACATAAAGTTATGTTTGTAGTTAGTTTATGTATGTGTGTACATACATACACACATACATAAATTTTACAAAATACAGAGAGCTTCACATATAGAAACAAATTTGGGGATGAAATCGTATTTTTACAGTAAAGCAAATGCATATAAAAACATCCCTTGGGATCTACATTTTAAATAAATACTTGTTTTGTCCTTGGTAATTCAACCAAGTCGAAATATAATCTAAAATGAGAACATACGTCAAGCAGATAAATAAATTAAACTGTTTAATTAGAAGAACGCATCTTCATAAATACGACGTCAAAAGGTTTATCCTATAAAATTTACAATTACAGATTTGAATGAAGTTTAGTATTATTTTTTACTAGTAACAATGACAGGAAAGTTTTTTTTCGTAACATACGAACGAAGAATTAAAGGGAGACTCTATTGCTTTGTTCTTCTACAGTGCCTAAAAAGTAAAAAAAAATTAAAATTCTAAATGTTTGACTAATAATGAGAACAAAGTCTATCACCAAGATTGTGAAATATATAAATTCCATATATTAATTTATATATGTTACCGGCGTTACTGAGAAGGCATTGAGCCTCTGAGTGTGCGTAAACGCATTTTACCTCCAAGTTAGTTTTTTTCACGGAAGTATATTACTACATTTTAAATAAAAATTATACATACAATTTAGCAGTCAAAATAAGGTATCTATTCAATTATACTTTACCATAGTGAAATTGATTATTGTAGCAAACATAAAAGGAATTATGTTTTCCTACAGTTACCTAACAATGTACATGTTCTCTCACTGATTTGAGAAAGCAAAGTGGCCAATTCGCTCATCAGTGAGACAATGTTAACATATTCTCACTCTAATTACTTTGTCTCACTCCAGATATGCAACGTGACGGCACGAAATAGTAAGCGCGTAACATGCAGGCAACGTCGTATGCGCGCGAAATACGTTGGCAGCACTGGCTGTAAATCTGCTGGTCAGATGTTGTACTTTTGTATTTGTCACTTCACATTAAATGTTATATTAAAAGTTCACTTCTGTGTAAAAATAGGTTATGTTTCATCACAAATTTATTTGTTTTATGGTAACTGTAGGAAAACTATAATGTGCAACTCGAGTTCAAAGTACAATTGCCTCACTCGAGAAACCATTCCTCACTCACCTACGGCTCGTGAGTAAGGATTTCTCTCGAGTGAGTCAATTGCTCACTTTTCTCACTAGTTGCACAAATAACTATTATATACATTATGAATGTAAAGAGAACTAGTAAACAGACAAATAAAGCATATTTTTATCAGACAATTATCGCAATAAGATGTGAGTGTGCATAAGGAAATGCTTTTCTAAAATGTCAAAGTCTATAAAAATCAAATTAAAATTATATCTTCATACTCTATTCGCTTATTATAGTGTTACTCAATGTAATTAAAAATTATCAATAGATATACAAAGTGTCTCATCTAATATTAAACATTAACCAATAGCTAGGTAAAACTATAAAACTAGTAAATGTAAAACTAGTAAAACTGGTAAATTCTAACTTTTTATTTATGTGAACGGCAGTTAACTTCCTATGAGGCACTCTCTGTTTTTATAGGTATTTTTGGGGCGTTTTCTAATTTTATAGATATCATAAAGTATTCTAAACATGTTATTAAAAATATTTTTTTTTAATAGGCTATTTAACTTAAAGCTCTGTTGGTATGCTCTCTATCCACAAAGTTGTTTGGTATTATTTTTCACAAATGCAATTTCTAAATTTTCGATGATGACTTAAAGTTTTTAAAACGTATTTCTAACTAATTACGTACTATTTTAAATCATACTGGCATTGTCTTTTCTCTGTATATACATAAAAGTACTAAGGTCACATTTCCTTACAAAATACCACGTTTCCTCAGTGTATTTCTGCTCCAGTGGTCCGTCAAAGTGAAAGTATAGGTTGGCAACAGTCAGTAAAGATTTGTCAGAACGATATATTTTAAGTGAGGACGAAGCGAAAAATCATATTTTGTCACAATATTAATTTATTTATGCCAACAGATGATTTCTTTTCTCTCCTGTATAAAAAAATCAATATTGTTATTGGGAACTTTACTAAATTATAAAATAAATTGTAATATAATCATATATTTCATGTTTATGTTAAGGGGGAAAGGCGAAATAAAAACCAATGTATGTTGTTCTCAATACAGTATGTATTGATCTCTTATCGTGGGTTTTATGAGTTTGCGATCACAAAATGTAAACGTATTAATGCTGGAGATAATGCGTCTAAGATTCACAAGATTACACAACTGTGGAATTGCATACATATTAAGAACAATGATGACTACCTTAATTACTCTCCAACTAGCAATAAGAATATTCTATTTATAGGTCTTTGACGTTAGGTTTTGCAAGTTGCTTGTAACTATGTAATCTTTATATATGATAAGATATCGGCCTTCCTGAATGGTAATCAATCTTGAAAGGCATTGTTACCAAAAATCATTTACTACAATAACAATTGGTAATTTTCCGTAAATTCAATACAACTACTTTTTTATTTCAATTTCGTTTATTCACTACCAGATTAGTTTTATAATCAGCAAGTTTAGTTGGCTAGGTTAGTTTAGATAGTTTCATTTTATAATTGATATATTTATAGACTAGGCTACCTACCTGTTAAAATATCGGAATGGCTAAAAAGGTTGTGGTAGTGATTTCACGAAAAAGAACCTAAAAACTGTTTACATTACTGACAGATTTCCATTCTCGTGTATGAGTCAATCAAACATCTTTTTATAGGCAAGGTTGTTTCTTTTTATAACCTTTTTCCTCAGCTCGTGTGCATCGCAGGGAAAATCTACACATACTGTTGGAAAGATATTTTCCTGTAGATGTGCAGAATCCCTTCATAAATTAAAATAGACTCACAAAAATGAATTTATAATTTTAAAATAATTAACATGGACCTTTTGGGTTGCCATGCTGTTGACAAAATAACGACGCAATATAAACAGAAAATCTAAGAAATTCCAATCACATGTTTAAATTTACAGCATGATGTAAAGCATGATGTGAAATTAGAGAGGTATATACATTACAAATTTTTGGTCGAGTTTTCGACCACTGAACGACCTCTAGTACTAATTAATGTAACTTAATTATACTGATCTCAATAAAAATGCATCGTTGATTATCCTTATTGTATGTTCTTTATTAAATACAGTTACGATTCTAATCAACTGTACCCTGCGGTTTATTACCAACCATCCGCAATGTGGTAAATATTGTTCATGTTTAATACAGATGAATCATCGGTTTTCATTTCAGTTGTCCAGACATTGACGATGATTTTGTCTAAGTATAATATGACTAATCAAAGTTGGGCAATATATTATACAATAGAAAATTGTAATACAAATATTAAGCTTCAAAACTCGATGTCGTAAACAAACATTGGAAATCCATTCCCCACATCTGTAGGGGACTCGTCGAGCGAAATATCCTTTCCGCTATTTTGGTCAGAGATAAAATAGAATGGGAACATGTGTGTCGTGTTTTACCTGTATTATATATTAATAATTTATGTATGTAGGATAGATAGAGGATGAATATATTAAGACTTATTCCGTGGTACTATTATTTACGCGTTGTTAAAGTAGAAATCCCTTGTACACATACAGACGAAGATAGTTTGAAATAGTTTGGTTAAAATTGTTAATGAAACAGCATACATTAGGTACATTCAACCTTGTGAAAACCCTTCACATGGTTCATACTAAAGATTTGTATTTTTAAATGTAGATTTACTACAAGCCATTTTATAAAAAAATAAACAGTGTATAACAGTGTGTAAAAACAGTGATATAAGGATTACAAGTTAATAACACGGTGTTTATAGTTTTGAACCAATCCAATAGCATTTATGTCTCTGAATTCTTAGTTGTCCAAGTATATTGTTTCTATTCAAGAGAATAATTTCATCTTGCGTAATTTTCATTTTTATTGAACCATGGAAGTGTACTGTGAATATCTATTTGAAAAATATATTGTATAAAAGCATTTGACAAAATGTTTAGTCTAAATGTTTAAGTTTCAGTAAATTGGTGGTTTTATGAACATATCTACAAGCATGTCCTTGACTCTTGATGTTGAGAAAACTCTGATTTTAAATCTGAAAAATAACTGAAAAATTTAACAAATTAATTATCAACTTGATATCAAGCGCAGGTACAACACAGTATTATTAACTTTCAACGTCAATAATGTGTCAAATGTACACTAATATGTGATAAAAATGTTCAACAAAGCTTCCTGTTGTGACAATACCATATACAGGAAGCAATTGAGATAGATCAGGAGCGGAAATAACATGGCGTGAGAGAAGATCAAAATCAACACAGATAAACATCTGGGCGAGCTACCAGCATCATATATGAGCAGCATAGTTCACTGCATAGTCATGAAGATCTGCTACCTACCGATATTTTTGGCTGTGGCCTCTTTCAGTGTAAGTATTCACTAAGACCATTTTACCTACTAAGATATATTTTCATCGTGGTTTGATATTTTAGTTATTTTCTTCTGGTTTAAAAACTTAACATGTTTTGTTACGTTTTTATGTGCATATTACGTTTTATATCCACATGCGAATAGAATGGAGCTATCAATGGTTTGATAGAGTAATACAATTAAATAAACTATGCCATTTGCGCACTGTTTGCTTAATTATTTTCATAAATTATCCATTGAACCTTAAAAATTCAATATAATTAACCACCAATGTTAATATTTCTGTTATGAACAGAAATAGCTCAAGACTTTATTTCAGTATTTTTTACGACACAATACTGAAACAGTCTTTTCTATGCAAAACATGATTTTATTATTTTGTGTATTTACTTTTTGAATATAAACTTTTTTACTAGTATATTTTTTTATTAAATAATTCTATAGTTTTAGAATGATTAATTAATTATTTTTTATAGCAATTGTATATTTTCAGATGCCTGGCGTCAAAGCTAGAAATTTAGGGGTAAGTTTTATTTTAGTACTATACAAATACAACAACTAGTTGTAATTAATACTATGAAAATTGTTTGTAATCTTATCACTGAAGACTTTTACTGATTGGAGCAGGTAAACCCTAAAGAATGAAAAGTCTGCGATGACTGTGTTTAGTTCTTACCTTACTGCAAAGATTATAGAGTTAGAAATAATTATTTGCTCAAAACTCATGTTTGGTAAAGGTGAGTTTTCATCTGTTATATTATTGTAGAAAATGAAAATAGTAAAACTAGTTTTATTCAGGATGAAAAATGTCCTCAATAATCTGTATTTTAATCTAATTGATTGTTGGAATTTGAATTTATTAGAATTTAAATTTGACGCAATCAAACTACAAGTGTATACAATAATTAACGGACCTTTTTATCAGAAACTTGTAAAAAGAACTTCCCATAAGATTCCTCCGGTATAAGATAATTGAGGATGTTTAATCATTCAATTATATGTTAGTTTATTTGTTTACTTCTGTGGTCCCGTAGTTTCATGCCTAAAGTATGTGTGTCAATAACTTAAAAAATATACGGTACTCCGTTTAAAATGTAGGTGGTTAGTCGGGAAGATATCAATCCCTTCCACTTATACCTACCTTTAAAAATATTGATTCAACAGCTGTGGTTTCCTAAAATATGAATTAGCTGTGCCATTATTAGTTAAAAAAAGTAAAATATTTTGTAAATGGAGTAAAACCACCTGATAGTTTTTTTTTTTTATTTACAAACTCTTCAAAATCAAACATTAAAATGAATTATACTTGTATAAAAATCAAATGGATGGGAACCCACTGTTTCAGGCCGTAAGAATAATGAACAGCCAAGTAAGTGCAGTGATAAGTACAGTGATGTTACTGATAATTCCTTCTGAGGCGATGACACTGTTTACTGGGAACACCCATGAGACGCTCTCTAGGAACTCTATGGAACTTCCATCAAGTGGCCCTATCGCACCACTGGGAAGGACTCGGCGATCCAGCATTGCTTGGGAATCACAACTTAAGAGAATTCAAAATGAAGTGGAAACTCTTGAGAGGATGGTTGAGAGCAGCCCAGTCAATCGTCACATGGAGAAGGTCTCCAGAGTCGAGAGAGGCACTGATGAGAGTAACGGTGAGACTATCAAAAATTGATTAAACTTGTTGATAAGTACCAGATAAATATTAAAAACTAACATATCTTACTAATATTATAAATGTGAAAGTTTGTGTGTTTGTTTGTTTGTTTGTTTGTTTGAAGTTCAATCACACATTAATTACTGAACGGATTGGGCTGAAATTTGGCATGATGATAGCTCACATTTCCGATTAACATAAGGCATATTCTTATCTCGAAAATCCTTTCGGGCTCCGCCCCAGTGGCTCTGTAGTTTCCCATGTTAACCTTATGAGTACTCATATTTAAATGGAATTAAAGAATTTTGCCAGCTGTTTCAACTAAAAAGGTTGGTTCTGTGATATGCAAAAGCGTTAAAAGTTATTAGAGTTATCAACAGAGTGCGGCATTATTATTTTTTTTTTCATTAATGAAAACAGCTAATTTGAACCAAGCAGAAACATAAAACTGTGATACGCAATGAGAACTGTCTGTTTACAGTTATGTTTATGTTTTTAATTTCACGAATAATTTGGGATATTTTGTGAATCTTTAATATTATTTTTCTATTGTTTGAGTGAGGTAGTAAAACATTATGGCTGTGGTAGATGTGTAATAGTATAGTATACCGTAAATTTGAAGAAGGGAATTTTATTATACTGTGTCCTCCCACATTGCAAAGACAAAGCTTGAGTACTAAGCATTTTATACTTATATACCAATCCCGTACGAAGGACGGGTACTCTGCTAGTAGAAAAATAAAAGTGAAAACATAAAGTACTATATAATTAATTATGGAATAAGAGTATATTATCACATGATTCTTGTAAGTTTTTAAATAAGCAATAACTCTAAAATAGAAGTGTTAAGTAAACTCTTCACCAGTTAATGATTCTAACTTGGAATTATCTATTGCTGTTGTACATGTTGGTATAACGGCGATGAAACATTCATAGAGCATGAAACAGGTTATTGGAACAATTAATTACCTACGTCATCACCTAAAGATTAGTTAGATTACTAAGTAAGACGAATATTTGCTTTTTAGCTTGAATGTAATAAGTTGTTGATCTGTCATCTAACAATCATATATGGAATGAGATACAAAATTAAATTGGCTGGATACAACCCATTTCATGAGTACACAAACGTTTCATTGAAATACAGCGAAATATTAAATAACTGAAATTTATTAACAATATTTCATAATAGCTGTAAATTTAAATATACATACATTGCGTTTTAAAAAATACAAAACGTCTATTTTATGTATACTGAATGTAACAACCATATAAATTTCTCCGTAATAATATGAGTTTGTAATGTTTTGTTTCACTAATTATGTGATGTTTATACAGATGAAGACAGTGCAGATGTAGGGGGTAAGGCTATGGAGGTTGCCGGGAAAGGGGCTGCCATGGCAGGGAACGGTATGCAGATGGCAGAGCAAGGAGCTAAAATGGCCTCAGACGGGGCTCAGGGGGCTAAAGCAGGTAAAGTTCTGGTTAACTTTGCACTAAGTTGTTTAACAATTCCGTAACCTTTGTATTTTAGATGTGTGGGTAGTAAAGATAAATATCAATAAAATCGTCATAAAACAAACCGGTACTTACGTATTATACCGACCACGCCTAATAATTATAACCTAAACTAACCTAGCCTAAACTAAGGGTGGTTAGGTTAGGGAGGTTTTTTTTATTTTTACTAATTAAAATCTTATTTGGAAGTATATATTTATCAGTGTGGTCGATGTGATACGTAAGTACCAAAAAGGCTTTCTATCCCTTGTTTATATAGATAGTGTTCGCTTTAAAAAATAACTTAATTGGTGTAAAAATTCACCAATGATTTATTTTTAATTTTTTTTGTGAAAAGTTTAAACATTGTATTTATCAATTTGCACAATTTGTGTGTTGGCATTGATTCTCTTGTAGATTTTTTCATAACTTGTGATACTACGTTGGGACATAGTGTAAAATTGAGCCTCTCTCTGTATGTTTATATATATTTAAATTTACTTCTCAATATACATTGGATGATAATTTTTTGTAAACATTGAATTGAAATGGTCATTAAGCCCAGAAAGAACATACTATGCTTTAGGTACCTAAGAAAGCGTAGGCCTACTTTTATTTGAATTCAAATAAGTCTTTGTGGTAATTTCATGGTCCCATAATGAATTAACTAAATTTTGCGTAGTTCTGATCAGGAGTAATTATAGAAATTGAAACGTCCGTTAAACGATTGAGACATCACTCTATTTAGTTTGGCGAAGCATTTTGACAAACAACAAAGAAGCATAATAGTTTATTGGCCTACTTCCATGTTTATTTGAATTTTTTACGTAGTTCTGTAATACAGTAGTTTTAAAACTGTAGAAAACCTATATACGATCCATTATAAATAAGTATTAAAAACATATACACAACACGACAAAACAAATTTGTGAATTCTATAACTTCTTTTTTTACTTATTATTTATGACTGTAGAGTCTTTCTATTATTCTTAGTATGTATACATTGTTTACATAATGCAAAAAATATGTTCACATATAAATCAATAATTGTATTACCTTTGATTATTACACTATATATTTTATAAGTATTAGTTAAATTTTAAAATAACATCAATATTAAAAACTCTGTTTTAATATTAAAACCGCTGCTAACCCTTAAATAGCCTTTGTTAAAGCCCTTAAAACTTTGTTGTATTTTTATTTATCAATTTGCAGGAGCCGATGCCCTAGGGAATGGTGCAGAGATGGTGGGAAAGGGAGCAGAAGTTTTCGGGGCGGCCGCCCAGCAAGGCCAGGATGTCGCCACCTCATTTTCTGGATAGACCATTCCATGTCGAGAATAAAGTATTTTGATACTTCACTGACTCGCATAACTCATAACAGTGAGAACATTTGGTATCTTTTTCTTTATTTTCTCAAATAACTATGTTTGTTCAATATTAAACTTCAAATGGGATGTAGTGGTTTTAGTTTTTCCCCCCTGAACTACTTCACAGCCAATAAATTTATACTTTAATGGTAAACTATTCGATTGATGTTTTATCTAGTCTCAAAAGAGTATAGTTTTAAACTTACAATGTAAGGTGTAATTTTCATTATTTATAAAAACGTTATAGAATAGGATGTAAGTAACAAAGAACGAATTTTCTCTTTTAAAACCATTGTAATCATTACTAACGTGTAAATTTGAAAAATATAACTTCCGCATTTATATTTGTGATTTGCATACAATTAGTATTTGTAATACGCGGAAGAATAACAAACTTACTATCTATATATTAATTGGCAAGCATGTTTCTTAAAAACTTTTTTCTCTGCTCGTTTGCATCGCAGGGACAATCTACGTATACTGTTATAAAGATATTTTCCTGTAGTTGTGCAGAATCCTTAAATTTAAATAGGTTAAAAAAGCACATATTAACTTATTAACAACTAATTTAAAAATTGGAAAATTAATATGGACCTTATGGGTTGTCATGCTGGTGACGAAATAATAACAAAATATAAACAGAAATAAAAAAAAAAATTTAAGAAATTCTAATCACATGTTTTATTTAAATTGTGGGGTGAAAACAGAGAAGTGTTTCTATTACATATTTTTGACGAGCTTTCAACCACTGGACGACCTCTAGTATATACTAATAGGCAAGCATGTTTTCTCCACTCGTGTGCATCGCAGGGAAAATATACGCATACTTATAGAAGGATATTATCTTGTAGATGTGCATAATCCCTTTATAAATAAAAATAGGCAACAAAATAAGCAAAAAATAATAATATGGGCCTTATTTACAGCGTAGGTTGAAAGTAAAAAGTCTGTATATTATATTTTTTTCGATCAGTTTTCGACCAATGCACGATCTCTTATAACATTTATTGTCTAAAGATTTCTTTTGAAAGATATTTGAGCAGTGTTTTAATTTATTTAGGTAGTACAATATTAAAACGATCTTACTACTTACATTGGAAAGGAAACTAATAACTCAGTATGTACCATGATGCTGCTAAAGCAAGCTCACATATCCGAAATTTTCCGGTGAATAATGAGAAACCACTTTAATTAAAAATTACCACGATAATACGTTGCCCGGAAGCCATTTATTATTTCTATTTTTCCTACGTTCTACAACGCAAATGATTAAATATTTACTAGGAAAACTTTAAAATATTCCATATAAAAATACTTGAATTTTTCGTCTTCTCCAACAAACAGTTACCGTATATTTTACGCAGGCTTAGCAAACAGCTGCGACCAACGGGTCCCAATACTAGTTTACTGGTGCAGTTTGTATCATGAGGCTTTTATTTAAATTTGGTAATTATTACCCTTAACATTCTATTTGCAAAGTCATAGTGTCGTTTCAAGCAATCACGGAATCATCCTTGACACGAATATTTAGATTTTATGAAACAATAATTTATTTTTAATTAGCATTTATCACATTAAATTATATTTAGAGAATTGAGGTTAAAATACTGTACACGTTACTAAAACAATACTATATTACGTTAATAATGCAGTTATTTTAATCAACATTGTATACCGGATGGATTTTATTTAAATTCTTAGGTAGAGTTTAAGCATTTTTTTATGACCTAATTTATCATCCGAAAAAGAATAGCCCAACAATAGTGTGACTCACTTAAAAGAATACAAGGTTTTTCTCTACTTATTCTCCAACCATTTATCGACCTATAAAAATATCTTCTTTGACATTCAAGTAAATTTCTCTAGTTTCTTGTGAATACTAGCAACACGTGTAATATTATATATCTTTTACTATTGATTTAATTTATTAGTATCAATTAATAGGAAGCTTTAATGCACTCCTATTGTCAATAAAATATAAATTACTCTACATATCTCTGCAATACATTATTGTTTTAGGTTAAATCTAACCATTTGCTTTACACTAAAACAATTTTGACTAATTTATTCGTTTTGGGCTTTTAAATTAATTGATTTTTCACTTAGTACGGCTGATGTGTTATAAGCAAAATTTAAAAATATATATGTTTGGTCTTAAATACACAAAGAAGGTTTTCAGCGTAAGGACCAACTTAAATAGGAAATACACGATTTAACAATTAACGATTCGTCATAACTGCCTATATATATATATATATATATATATATATATATATATATATATGACATTTTAACTTAAAAATCTAATTAAATACTTACGTATTTTATTACTATAAGCAAGTCACTTAAATTACCTTGTAATATATTTCAAAACCAGAAAAAACGCAGTCTGCTTGATAAGTTTAATAGATAAACACATCCATGTAGCCCAAGGACTAGACACTTTTTTTATAAATATAAATTGTTAAAAATATATTGTAAAGTGGCCCAATTAAAATATTACTAACACACATGTCACATTTCGATATAGATACAAAAAAGCCTAATACTCAAATACCTATGTTATAGGCATGTTTTTCATCTAAGCTTTGTCGCCTTTAATAAGGGTATGTATTAAAAAAAACCAATTGAACTAAGTTTATTCTCCGTAATAGAACCACGAACATGAAACAACGGTTAATTCATTCAAATTATCAAGAACTATTTTTGTAGGAAGATAAATGACGAAGAGTATCTGGAAATATTAATTTAGAAAAGGATGTAGGTAAATAAAACACTTTCTAAATACAAATAAATATTGATAATATTTATTATCTTGGCCCAAGCCATGATAACACATTTAAAAGTCATTTCTTATGTTTAATCTTGTACCTGTACTAAGGTAGGATGTTAAACATTTTGTGGTTCTTCTTGGGACAAAAATCTTATGTTGATTTCGAAACGAACACATAATAAACTGAAGAGGAGAATCAACCATTGCTTGCAGAGCTCTTCATCAAACTCTATCAACGGCGGATCATTGTTTGTATTGAGTTCAGGTAGACGTGTCTGTATTCTACACCTCATTAAGGGAAGCAGACATGAGAAATACTTTCCATTTAAGTTTAGCTGACTTTATAGAAATAAGAGGTCTTTAGTTTTTATAGATTTAAAAATATTACACTAATATACTAGAAACGAAAAAAAACATTTCTTTCGTATTAATTTTGGTGGACTAGCTCAAAAACAACAGTTCAAAAGGTGTTAAAAAGTTGATTGTAGTAGTATTTCATTTGTATAGATGTAGACAGATTATTACATTACTATACTAGAAAATAATAACAAAAACATTGTAACATTTTGGTTGACAAAGTAAACGGAATATTTCAAACAAAGTGTATAGCTTATTGTTTTATTAATGTATGTAACTAATATGATAATCTAGAGCATAAGTGGACTTATTTATATGCATATAACCTACTCATCGATAAGAATATTTCGTCAGGAATTAACATGAAACTAAGCAATTTTAAAGATACCCAAAGTCAAAATCAATTGTAACTATTAATGTAACTATTCGTAAACTGGGTTATAAAGGAAATATTTTTGAATATAACTAAATACTGAAGCATTTCCGGAGCAATTCTGCATTATATTACACATATTGCAATATCATTTGTCAATAAGATTATTATGTATAATTGTGTACTGGTAATTATTTATTTAATCTCATTGTTGATTTTTATTTGCATAATTAATTGGTTCATTTTGCTTTAATCTATGAAAGGAAATCGCTCTATAAGCATAATGTATACGGATTATAGCGATGGATTATTAATACTTACGCTAATAATATAGATTAATAATAATAGGTAAACCCTAAAACATCCTTGTAATACATAATTGATTGTGAAATATACGGATGTATTAATGTGGCTTTAGTTGAACGAATATATTATAGGATCTATTAAACTCGTTATGATATTTTTTTACAATAATTTTACCATACAATGTATAAACGATGTTAATAGTCGTCAAGATAAAAACGTTTATATTTTATAATACATAACATATCCTTAGTACAAAATACAGAAAATTCAGTAGAAGATAAAACGGTCCTATTTATTTTATTTTAAGTGCAAAAAATGAATGAGTCAGGAAAGAGAACAGCCGTTGTTAAAATTATTGATAATATTGCGAAAGTGGCAGCGACTAGAGTCACTGGGGAAATCTTCAGAAGTAGATGACATAATTGTGTCTTCATTTTACGATTTGGCCACTGCGTCTTCATTATATCGTCCAATCCTCATCTGAAACCTGGTAAATGCATTAAGGCAATGAGTTTTATCTAAAATTTGTTATTATACATGTAAATAACGAAATAATAGTTCAATAGGTTCCTGGATATAGGTAAAGTAATTGGGTTTATTAATTATGAATAATTTACATTAGATATTTTAAGAAAAAATAAAAATGTAATACAAATATGCTGTATTTGTAAGATATGTTCAGTAAGTATAAGGTTTTGGATTAATGCAATGTTTTGTAGTAATATAAACACACAACTATACAGAAATTGGAAGACAACATTTAAACATTTAAGCCCTTTGGTCAAGACGTATATGGTAAAAAAATGCCTTTTAACTTATAAAAAAATTAATCTATTCGTAATGCGCTGGAAACTTCTAAAATACGTAACAATTCCTTGGAATATGAATCTATAGCTAAAAATAAGTAAAAATAAAATTATGGCATCAGGGTATAACATATATTATTATATTATGTCCCGAAATTTTCCATGGCTATACTAATTTACCTATATTTATGTAAATAACTAGTAATAACACATTGAAATAACAAAACGGTTTTCAAGTAAAAAACCCCAAAATTTTGAAATACAATCTGTATGAGAATGTCATGTCTTTTAAACTGTAAGTATAACCATATCAGTATCGTATATAAAATGTACTAAAGCACTGTTCATTTATAACTAATTATTATGTATACCATTCTATAGCTTTCAACAAGTTTACGATTGACATCTATTGACTGTGTTTATACTAAGTAACTAGGTAAAATCCCAGAGAATAGACCCATCGATGTATATA